ACAGTATCACAGAGTTAGTGTCTTTATTCTCTAATGTAAAGGCCAGGTATAGGATGCTCAATTTACTGCTTTTGAACATGGCTAATTCATACTGAGGTGAGCGTCCTACAGCAGAAATAACCCCGGTATTCTATTTCACATATTTGACATTTGTGGTATTGAGCTAGATGCGTGGTTTTGCATATCGGTATGTTGAATGAGAAATTTTTGGGGACCAGCTGGGGAGTTTTACCTTATCACCTTCTCATTGGTATCTTCCACTTTACATCCAAATGAAAGAGCTGGAGTGCAGGGGATCTGTGTTGGTACAAGGGGCTGTCTCCACTTTAGAAGCACACATTTGTAAAATTAAATATTTTTTTTCCTCCTGTATTTTATGAGATGCAAAGTAAAATGAAAATAAATGGAGTCCTGCAACAGGCCATGCAAAGACTCTTCTCAGAGAAGGTGGCTTTTCTCTCTTCTCCATGTGTGGTTTAACAGATCCCTAGTGCAATGAGGCTTTTTGTTGGTGGGGTGATCCCAGGACTGTTGTGACCTATTGTGAAGCAAAGAACTTGAACACAGTTCTAGGAATTGCATGTAGCTCATCTTGAATTTGTCCAAAATGCTTAATTTCTATGAAATCAGGTGTATGGTTGGTATTTATCTGAAAAATGCCCTCTATATTCTCAGTTCTTTCTAAAGATGACAGTTTTTACTTACTTACTGCTCAAAGATGGAACTGTGATTGGAGGTTAGGGAAGAAGAATAACGTGAGAAATGAAATACAGTTTGTCCTTGCTTCGCTTTTCACTCCGGTTCTTTGTGACAAAGATGGGAGTTTAACCATGATTAAATTTTGTGTCAGGTAAATGCATTGTATAGGTGGTTAGGAAAGATAACTGAAAATAACTGTTTTCTACTGTTGCAGCAGATGCCTTTGTTTTTCTTTCTTTATTTTGCTGCTATGTATTGAGCTTTAAAGTGTATTTTGAAATCTGGAGCAGGAAAATCTCTCATTTAGCTTCAGGGTCTTGATCAGTGGACTTAGATGATCCAAGTGTTGCTTCAGGGTGCTGTGGTATTAAAAGAAATGCTTATATGTGGATATCCCTTATATACTTTACAGCTTATTTCTTTGAAACGAAAGTGATATGTTGCTCCTTTCTATTTGTTTGCTGTTGCTAATTAACTTACAGAAAATGACATTATATTTCCTGCTTCCTTCATATTTGGAAGAATTAGAAACTATGTGGAGTGACAGGGAGCTGAGAATTGCAGATCTGGCAAAGAAGCATGGTGTGGCAGGTTAGCACGTCAGTCGTAACTGGTGATACACAGCCTCTCATAGGAGTCTCTTTATATAGAGAGCATTCATAAATATTTAAGATGGTTTCAGCAATACATTAAAGATTAATTTTTCCCATGGGTGGAAATAATAATAATAAAAAAGAAGAATAAAATACACATCTATAACTTCATTTTAGGAACAAGTTTTAGAGCACACCCGTTAGCTTGCATGTGCAGAATTAGTGTGATCTGTAAACAAGAAGCAGTCGTGATAGTCAAGAACCAATAAAATAACAATTGGTTTTCACAGAAAACTCATCTGACAAATTGTCAGAATTGGATGAAATAAACCAGGTTTTATTTTCTTTCTCTAGCTGGTGCAGAAGAATAGTAGCGTTAACACCTCAAACCCAGCTAAAATGAAGCAGTGACTTTTGGCTAGTGATAGACTGGAGATCTTTGAGTGCTGTCATGGCAACTCTTGGTTCAGTCAATAATTCTTCACTGGATATCAAAACCAAAAAGAGAAAGGGATGGCATATTCTCTGAACTAGATTTAATTTAAATTGAATACAAGTGAAAAGAATATTTTGGAAGATTTTGTAATAGCTCATTATGAGTATTGCTTAAGTTATTTAAGTTTTCTGGATCGTTAAATTAGTATTACTATTTTCTATATTGCAAATTGTGCTGCTTATGTAGTGGCACATTAAGAGTTCTTGTTACATGTTTATGTGAGAGTTTTTTCAAGGAATTTTTTGTAATTTTTGAAAATATAAAATGCTTTATAAGCATGAAATTTAACAGTCTATATGCAAGGCCGTCCTCTTGCAAACGTATATATCGAGGAACATGATATATAACAAAGAGAAAATCCCAAATGGATTTAAAAACTGAACACTTCTCTCTTTAATGTCTCTAGTCATTACAGTCCACTTCAGATTGCTTCCTTACAATGACTTAGAAACTGAATTCATATTTAGTTTGTATGGAAAGACTTTAGGAAATAGGAAACAGTGTAACATTTTATCTTTATCATAATTTGTGTGCAGTTAAGTGTCGGTGAGATGTTTTTGTTCTGTTCCATGCTGTATTTGCTTTCTTTTAGTTATTCCTAATTTTCAGTTGTAATCAAAGGGACAGATCAGTTTACTCTGGATTTGATATATGAATTTATGTGATTACAACAGGCAAAAGTGAGATGCTGGGATTTTAGTTGAGGCCACTTTGAAAGCTGAGTTGTTAGGGTCAGAGGCAGCACCCACAGTGCCCGGCTGAGCTGCCTCTGCCTGTGCCTGTGAAGTGCCTGTCGGGCGTCCAGGTAGGGCCAGGGCTCTGGAAAGCAGCGCCCAGGCCTCTGCACGCCCTGTGTACTCGGGGGAGCGTGCTGAATTGGTAGATCTGAGGGTTTTTTCGTTCCTTTCATATTTTGTTAGACTCGAGTGGTGGAAGATTTGGCGTCTATGACAGAACAGTATACAAATAGGAGCTCTAGAAATACAATGGTTATGGGGTCTCTGAGCGACTGCTGGTGGTAGCAGTTGTTACACATCAAGGAGTGTGTTTTTGGAGTGTGCAGTGCATGTCTTTACTAATCAGAGTAACTTCCTCCATTTCATCAAGTGCTTTTAGATACCAAGGACTTAAAAACTATGGTCCAACTAAATAATTGAGGTAGAAGTCGTTATAAGAGGACTACTTCATATCTGGTTGCTCAGGCCAAATTAACCGATGCTTTAACAGACGCAAAAGTAAAACACAGGTTATTTCCTTTGGCTTGCTGAAGACTGCTTGCATGTTTTTAGGGAAGAGCCAACGTTGTAGCAAGTGCACGTGCTGCTTTGAACTTGTAATGTTTTGATTTATATGTGCAAAGCTAGCTAATTTAAGAGAATTTAAGACTACAACAAAGGTATCAATAGCTGAGGACCAGCCTATATATGTAGGTGTACTTGTAATTAGAACTAGACAATTTTTTTTCTCCTAAAATGCCTGATTGCTGCTGCCCAACCTTGTATTATGTGCTGTGTGTAAATTTGCCTCCAAGACTTAAATTTTTATTGGCCAACTCTTTTGATAGCTTTCATAGTAAAAAAAAAAAAAAAAATCAAGTTTGACAACATTGTAAAAAGCCTTGCTTAAGTTTTACTGCAGTTTTTAGTATTTTCTTTCTTCTGCCTTTTAGTTAGAATTCAATATTTCTAAAACTAACGAGCTTCTTGATAGCTTCATGTTAATAAGAACTTTTTTTTTTAAACTTTGTTTTTTAGTCATCAGCTGATACACTGTTCTCTGTCCTGCAGTTTTTTTCCATTGCTGTGAATGCTGTACGTGGGTGATGAATGTTAGATGTGTGTTCCTTTAATACACAATTCAGACACTATTTCATTTGGAATCACACTGGAATGGAGGCATTGATAATTTCCAAGTAAATGAGTGGGTAGAAATGAGACAGCTTATTTATTTTTGCAAGTTTAGCTTGTCAGCTTTTGTGAATGTTTGTGTTCTCTCACATTCTTGCTGTCTAACTTTGAATTTCCAGGGACCATCATGTGTCTAGAACCATTTAACTTTACCCATGCATATGAAATGTAACCCTATAGTGGTTTTGGTTGAATTTCAAAATACAAAATGTAGCACAATAACAGTCTTATGAACAATCTGAGATCACTTCAGGTAGATGGAAGAAAATTCAGTGCTTAATTTTTAACTGTCAGTTATGTTAACTATGTGTTTTGAAGTGCAAGAAAAACTGACAGTGTTTAGAACTATGGCTGTGTTTGTTTTTCCAGCTGTTGTAAAGTTTAAAGAAACATTGGCAACAGTTATGGTGGTACTTTCATATTAGTATAGCCACTGTTTAGTAATGAAAACTATTTTCCTTAAATTTCCTCAAACTTTATTCTTGTATATGGAACATCTTCATATATAAACATTTATGTGTGTATATAAAATCACAATTCTTAGCAATTTCCTGATTGAGAGGATAAATAAAATCTAGGCTGGGTAGTGCTGTCTAGCTGACTTCATGAGTATGCCTGCTCTCTTGGAGATATTTTTCATAGTACTGCTAAAATAAACCGTCTTTTCTATCTCGCCTGGATAAACAGTGATAACTTTTAAAACTTTGGGCACTTCACTGATGTAGAAAGCCTTAACTCCCATGTCTGCCTTTCTTGAGGCTCCTTTCCACAGAAGCATGTAGATTCTAAGAGTGGAAGTTACATCATTTCGCTTACACTGGTAAATGTGAACAGTGATTGAGTTGTCATAGTTTTTTCTAATACTTTAATCGAAAGTTTATTCACCTGGAGCAGAAATGCAATTTTAATATTGTTTGTAAATAAGTGAAACTACTTGGGAGAGATCTCTTGTAACCTGTTTTTCCTGACCATGGGTAATGTCTGTTAAAATTTAGTATTTATTGGATAACTAGGTATAAGGGTTTTTTACTGCATATGTTACTAACCTGAGAGACTGCAAATTTAGAAGTTGAATCAATTATATTAGAGCATGAGCACGGTTTGTGTGGTACGGTTTCAGAGGTCTGATACATCTGTCTGTTCTCTAGTAGTTTTCTAATATTAGTAGAAGTCACTTCCTTAGATCTGTTGCTTTCTAAACCCATTCTTCATGTGCATATTTTCCAGAAATAAAATTCAAATTCCATTACTACCTGTAAATCTCAATATTTTATTTTTACCTTTTTCTCCCCCTTGCCCCCAGATATGCGTGATAAAATGAGGAAGTGGAGGGAAGAAAACTACCGAAACAGTGAACAGATAGTGGACGTTGGAGAAGAGTTAATTAATGAATATGCATCTAAACTTGGAGATGACAGTAAGTAAACAATCATTATTTTAAAAACTTGCATTGTCTGATTTTATTTTCTCTTTTCAGCCTCTAATTTGTACTTCTCTGTTGCCATTCTGTATCTGCTGATGTTGATGAAATATATCTCGCTTTCTTAGTCTAACATGCTGCCAGAATTCCTAGATTTTATATCTTTCCCAAATATTGGCTGCAGTGAAAACAGATGGAAAAAATTGCCTTCTAGTAATTAGTAATTGTACAATTAGGTGAGAACTTAGCATGAAACTGTTATCTGGATTTCATTTGACTGACTTTCTGTTCTTCAACACAGTGTCAAAAATTGAAGAGTATCTTTTTATAACAGAGAAAGCTATTGCTTGATCAAGTCATACATACTGCAGGAGTTAATATTAAGGCTGTTTTTATTATAAAATTACATTTGTGATATTATAGTTTAAGGTAAGTAGGTTTCCACTGTTTGTGAAATTAGTATTTTTAGGGGATTTTAGCTACCTTATACTAACCTCAGTAGACAGAAACTTGAATGCAACATTTCATAATAAAAGAGAACTGCTTAGAAATGTCACAATACAGTAGCACTCTTTACTATAAGCATAAAATAAAACAAAGTGTAACAAAGTTCTGTCAAAATTATAGGTTTGTATAGTAATCTCACACAGGTTTTTATTTTAATGCTAATTTTTCCTTCTTTTTCCCTTTTTTATCATTCAGATAATTTAATATAGACATTCTTTAATATATTTCTTTTGTAGTTCTTTCAGTTTATTAACTACTGTTAAATAGTCACAAGTGGATTTTAGCAGCCATAGTACTGCATTGTATTTACTAATAAGAGTTGCCGTGTTCCATATGATTAACTTTGTTCAGTGAGTTAACTTGTTCAGTTAGTTTAGTAAGTTAACTTTTAATTTCAGATACCTAACTTCATACAGTATTCCAGGAATTAAAATCTACATAGTCATTTCAGAAAGACACTTTTCCTCTCTTTATTTTCAGGTGTTGAATCTTTCAGTATTGGGTTTGGAGGATTTATTTTATATCAATACTTTGCTCTGGTTCTGTCTTGCACCCTCTGAGCTGTAGTTCTGTTCTGAAGTTCAGAACTTGTAAGGAGCTTGGCCACTGCAAATATTATACTTTCATGGGTATAAATACATGGATAATGTACCCAAAGTATCATGTGCTGAAGACAACTCTATGCATAGCAGTGAGTCATGAAGTGCCTGTGGAGATTCAGTGCCTGAAGAAGATGCTGCACTGTGAGGGGTCCGTGCACTGTGACTGAGAGGAACGTCCTTGTTTTTGGACTGCGTGTGTAGGCTTCATACACTCACCTGCATGAGAGTTGTCATAGGTTCCTTCTGCTTTAGAAGAACTTTCAGAACTAACCTTGATTTTACTTTCTTACCACGTTGCTAGTAATTTTTGAGAATTGTATTTTAGTAAGAAATTGTTGAGGAGCTTGATATTCCTCTCGGATTTTACTAATGCCTTTCTGAAACACTGTTCTCAGTAATACAGGCTGAGTCATTCCTTTCTTGTCAGGGTTGAGTTTGTCCTTCTTTCCAAGATACATATGTTTTATTCTTTCATTAACTTGACATTCAGGATTCATTTGATAAATGAGCTGCAATGTTCCCGAGGCAAATGCATAGAAGTATCTGAAATTTATTTACATATTTACACTCTGTTTGTTTATTTATTTTTAAAGTAGTATCAGAGTGGCAACTGTATAAGGTTTTAAAAACAAGAAAGACTTATAGTAGGCCTAGAATTCTTTACTGGGTAGCCACAGAAGGTGAATGAATGAGTGGTATATGATGGATATTAGTTTTGTTGCTTCATGTATTTTCAGAAAATGCCTGGATATTACAATGGCTAATTTCAGACTGCATATAGAAGGGAAAATATTGAATGCTATGGGGCAGATTATTTGCATATCTCTGTCACTTGCCTTCTCAGGCAGAAGACATCCGTTGTAATTAGGGGAAAAAAAGAGGTTTTATCATTATTAGAGTTTTAAACATAAAAATAACTTATTAAATATTAGTCTAAGGGGCAGGGAAACTATTATCGACATCATAATTTTAATGAAAAGTTGAGATTTTCTAATTGACAAACAGTAGTTCAGAGCTATAGAGTGGGACTTCAAAGTAGAGGAATAAGACCTTTGGCTTTGTTTTGTTTTTTGTTTTTAAGTTTGAACCAGAAATCCCTAGTGCAGATCAGAAAAAAAATGTCCCTGTGGGCTGGTTGCTTGCTTCTCTTACAAGTGTTATTTTGCCTAGTATCTGACACTAACCTGTGCTAGGGTTAGAGTAGCAAAGCAGAGGTTTGAGCAAATGGGGAGAACCATTTAATAAACTAAGTATCTTATTCTAGTGTTTAGAATTTTTTAAAAAATCATAATATATAATTTGTATAATGGATATATGTTTTATGTATTTTGTCTCTATCAATGTATGTATTTTTATATTCATAGAAAAAATGTATATATTATATAATAAAAATAAAATATATGTCTTATAAATAGTTCCAGTGGAGAAGAGAGGTTACAGTCCAATTAATGCCTGTTTCTCTTCTTTTGTATACTTAGCAAGAAATAGAATTTAAAAAAAATAGTGGGAATTCATGTAATAGAAACTTTTTTTAAAAAGAGAGAGATTTGTTAGTTTTATTTTATATTTTATTTTGGAAGACATTTGCTTCTGTTTCAGTTCTATTAAATATTGAGTGCACCTAATTGGATTTACTCGAGTTCAAAACACTTAGTACTTCTAATACTCACATTACAAGTTTCCCTCTACCATAATCTCTCTTTTCTGCAGCTTATGTAGCTACACTGTTAAGTTCTTTACATTCAAGAACTCAGTAGGCCTAAATCAGAAAGAATGTAATCTTTCATTGATTTAGAGAAGTTGTTCAACTCCAATAAGACAGTATTTGTAAGATTTTCAGCAGTGAAACAGTTAAGGGAAATTTGTTTTCTTTCTTTCCCAAATGGCTGTTCTCCAGGTCTAATCAGAGAACAAGTCCTAATGGGGATGTTGGTTTAGAAGACTGCAGCTATAATGTTAGGAAAAGTAGAGAATTAGAGCTTTTTTGCCTTTCAAGATGTCAAAAGGTACTTTGTTACTAAAAGCAGTAAAATTGCTTAAATGCATTTTTAATTAATTCCAGCAGTTTCTTAAAATGTCCCTGTTTCAGTAGGGATCCATGAGAGTAGAAGGGGAAAAATATACAGACGTAATTCATTAATGTTATTTACATTGTAGGTGTTTCCCATTATCTTAAAAAAATCAATTATCTGAATTTAATGTCTCTTTTGTGTCTAGTTTGGATAATATATGAACAGGTGATGATTGCTGCCCTGGACTGCAGTCGAGATGATTTGGCGTTGGTAAGTTTTCAAGCTGACTTTTCCCTCAAACCTTAAGTTCTCTTCCTGAGTATCTCCTCCAGATAGTTCTTTGGATAGTTACAGGGTATTCTGAACTCCATAGCTTGGACCTGTAGAATATCTGTTGAGAAGTATACTGCTGGGAAGAAACCACCACCACCCGCCTTCTCTAATGTGTAACTTTTGTTTAGACAGATCGTGTCTCTTCCAATAGCCATGAAAATACTTACCAGCTACTCTGGTATGGGCTAAGTGTCAAGAATAATATTGAAGTTGCCATATTGTACAGAGAGTGTTTGTTTATTAAAAACCTCTCAAATTATATTGATTTTAGAATGTTTTGAGGTAAAGTGTCCTGTTATGCATATCATATGTCATGTTGGCTATCATCAGAGAAAGTCGTTGACATATTGGAGCAAGTCTTCAAGATGAATAAGGAGCTGGACTGCACAATGTATAAGGAAAGACTGAGAGATCTGGGTTTGTTAAGTCTTGAGAAAGCTAAGAACAGATTTTACTGCGGTCTTTGAGTATGTACTAATGGGGAGGTATAAAGAAGGTGGAGAGAGATTTTTGTAGCTCTGCAGCAAAAATCAAGTGGGAAAGACGTAAAGTAGAAGAAAGGAAATTCCAATTAGATATTTGGAAAAAGTTCTTAACAGTAACACTTTGGGACAAATGGCACAGAGAAGCTGTGGAATCTCCTTTGGAGATGCTCAGAAATGGATTGGGATATGGCCCTGAACTCACTTGGAAGCTGGTTCTGTTTTGAGTGCGGATTTGGAGTAGGTGACATCCAGAGGTCCCTTGCGATCCAAATTATTCAGTAATTCTTGATAGAAATATTGTTAATGGATATTTGGATTTAGTCAATTTGTATGCAAATTTATTTGAATTATACAAATAAGAATTTAGATAATATGAGTTTATTTAGAACTGTAGGTCCTGTTCACTAGATTAAAAATGAAAAGACCCAACAAAACAAACCCAACTAAGCTTGGCTAATCCTTTAAAGGCAGCAATTGAAAAAGGCAAAAGGGTGTTTTGCAGGCAAATTTTAATGATCTTTTCATCCCTTCTTCACAAAACGCTGGGAAAAAACCCATGTGCCCTGAAAGCCAGCAAACTTGAGCTTATACTAAGTAAAAAGACGGATATTTTTAGGAGTCCAAGTCTTTCATGGGGATTACTCTTCCAGTGCCTTGTTCTCTGTCGGATGGCAAAATACCTCGTAAAGTCTTTGAGCTTCATGTGATGTCATTTGGGTGAAACTTAATGGTCTGTGATATACAAGGGGTCAGACTGGAGGATGTAGTTGGGGAAAGGGCAGTTTGAAAGTAGGCAAAACTAGATGAGTTTCTCTCTCATCCCGTATGTATATGGTAGAATGGAGGACACTGGAAAATACAGCACAGTGCTCCGAACTTGTCATGAACCCACTGAACTTTCCTTTCTTTTGTTCCTCAGAATAAAATACTTTTGTTGTATAGCCATCTGTTTAAACAAAAACAAATAGACTTACTGTTTAAATAAATATATTTCTGTGTTCTGATTTATATCTAAAACAGTTTTGGTCTTTATTTTCAGGGTCTTTTTAGGAAGACTTTCACAAAATTGTTGAGGGAGCCAGTGTTGAAAGATCAGTTGTGAAACACTATTTGTTTTTACTAACCCTGGCAGGGATTTTAAATTTCACTTTCAGTGCCCTCTAAGGGATGTTGCTTGAGATGAGGAAGTGCAGTGTTTTACATGCAGCTCAGAAAGGACGTTAAAAGCTTAGAGGGGAAACTTAGGGTTTTAATTTTTTTTTTAATTTGATTGATTTATAATAAAGAAGTAGTTAATTCAAAGAAGCCAACATCATATGTGGCCTTTTGCTACAGCTGTAGCCCCGAAGTAGACAAACAGTTTTGGAACTTCTGTTTTTTAGCAGTGAGCTTTTGACAGCTGTGATGCATTTTGCTTAGGGGGATAGGTCTCATCTGCTCCAAATGAGGAGGCTGAGATGGTTTTCAGAGTAATTTATTTGACTTTTGTTTTTTCTTTCCTCTGTTATTACTGTTGTCCTTTCTGTCCTGCACAAAATGACTACGTGTAATGCATGCTCCTACTGCAATCAGCCAGTTCTTTAACGAGCATGTTTTAGTGTAATCACCTACTGTTGGCAGGTGCTTGCACCTCCAGTTTTTCACATCCTGAAGTCCGGGTTTATATTTCTTTGCTTTTGTCAGACCTTTTAAATTAAAAACTGACATGATTTTAAAAAATCAGAAAACAAATTAACTGCAAATTAAAGTTTCATGTACAGATGAGATTTGCCATTGTAAGTGCTGAGTTTCTGAGTCTCAAAAGTCGATTATTGACATAGTGCAGAACCAGTCCAGAATAACTTAAATGGTTATGGGGATTACAAGTTACATTTAAAAAGGTGGCATTCAGTGCTGTTGAGTTCAGAACATTTTGAAGATACAGCTAGTGTAATTTATTAATGCATTTTTGTTTTCAAAAGTGTTGTGACAAATTATTCATGACTGTCTCACGACCTTTCATGTCACTTTTATGATCATAATTATGTCTGATGTCTTAATCTACAGGAGTTTATTTTGGCTTTGTGGTTACTGTATTTAGTTGAACAGTGACTGTGTAGTCAGATCTAATGTGATCGATTCTAGTCTTGTAGTACTCCTGCAGTTGAGAGCTACTTCATCAGCTTTTTCTATATTGTCTTTGGGGTTTTTCAAGATGTAAAAGTCCCATCTGCAGATTGTGGAGTTTAGTGTTATTGCAAATGTTATAATTTTTGACATTTCAAAATTTTATTGGAGAAAAGCAGTGCATGTTTTTATACTGAAAACCACTGTCGTTGGGGATTCCCAGATCACTGGGCCACAGGGTGGATTTATTGTCTGCAAAAGATCTTTTTAAAATCTAGAAGGTTGTTTGGATTGTGAAAGCTGAAGTGAAACTACTTTTCTGGAGTTTGATGTAAGTTTTCCTGTCTCTTAAGAATGTTCATGGATTAGTTTGGACGTTATGTAACGTGCTGCTAAGTATATGTAGTTTTTAATGACAGTTTGTTGTCCAGAGCAGCAGCAGTTCACCTAGACATCACTCAAAGTGCCAGTAAACTCTTTATACTAAACCCGAGCCTTGCTATCTGAAATTGCATTGTTAAGATCTTGGTTCATTGGAAAATAAGATGATCATGATGAAAACAGTCTGTGCACACTTGAGGTTGAGCATTACTTCTTTGTTTACTGTTTCCTTTCTCTCTTCCTTCTCTATTTTTTTGCATCTGGGAGAGATGTGAATATTTCTCTTTGCTGTGCTCTATCAACCTGCTTACCTACAGAAACAGAGAGAGAACCTATTAATTTTTACTGATGTGCTTCTGTATTTTTTCCTTTGACCAGTGGATGTGATGAGATGGAACAGGTCATGTAGATAGGTCGCTTCTGGAACCTTAGATCTTAAGAACAAGCTGAGTTGTGTAAATAAATGTCTGGAAAAGGAGAGTTCTGTGTGAAACTTGTAATGTGATGCAAACTACTGGTCTTTTTGGGAGCCTCGGGACTGTCCTGCCTCCCACCCCAATGAGTCAGCTACAAACTTTGCCATGCTATCTAGCCACATTCATGATATGGTTAGAGTTAGCTTGCTCTGGGAAATCTATGACTCACCCCTCTACCAAACATCCTTTTTTGCTAATCCAGAGACATCTGCCTATGATTAATTCCTTTTATCCAGCCCAGGTGTCTCATTGATTTCAGGAGTTAGAAGCTGTGACTCTTCTGCCAGCAGGCTCAGCCCAAGCCAGTGACAAACATTTTCTTTGGATTTCAAAGTTTTGTTTTAAAAATAAACACAAAGCATACTATTAGCATAGTTTGTTCCATTGTGAGATATCCATTTATTAAAGAAGTATCATATAAGCCCTTGCCGTCTTTATTTTGGTTTTTTACTGTCTTGCGTTACTATGAGGCAACTAAGTCAACCTCAAGATTTAATAATATCAGAACTGTTTTAGTAGATGAGTTTAATTTTCTAGACAATAACTGTTTCCAAGGCCTGACAGTCTAATGACCTGCATGGGATATATTTTTTCTAACAGACAAATTTTCAGTTTCTGAGCTTCTCTTTATCAGTATATTTCATTACTTATTTCAAAAACTGGTATTTGCTTTTACTCAGAAGTGCCATTTCAAGTTGTTGAATTAATTTTTTTTTCTTCCCACTTCTGTGTAGATAATCATATTCACAACAGTATTTTTGGTTTTATTTGTATAGTTTTGTCTTCAGGAACTAAGGCGGCAGTTTCCTGGGAGCCACAGAGTTAAACGATTAACTGGAATGCGATTTGAAGCTATGGAAAGGTAAAACCTGAATTTAAAAGAATGTACTTTCTCTCTGGAAAGGTGCTGACTATTTCTTAAAAAGGCCTTCAGGCACTGTAAAAACATGACAAAGCAATGCTGGGCAGTTTCTTTGTAGACAATAATGTGCATGATCATATTATAAAGTTTAGGCATTTTGATTGCATTTTTGCATGTACTAGCAGTATTAAATTTTTTGCAACCTTCCCATCAGACTTCATAGATTAAATAGATCTCTTACTTGACAGCATAAGTCATTATACAGTAAAGCACTAGGCACTTTTTTGGGTGAAGTCTGTGAAGTATACATTTCATCTCATAGAGCTAGAGTGGCATATGAAAATTGGTGCCAGCATTTTTTTCACAGAATCACAGAATGTTGGGGATTGGAAGGGACCTGAAAAGATCATCTAGTCCAGTCCCCCTGCTGGAGCAGGAACACCTAAACGAAATTACGCACTTCGTTGTTCTCCTGTGCTCCAAATTACTGTAGAGCAGTAGAACTCTGGTGTAGTAACCATAGAGTTTGTTATAGAAACAACTCAAAAAGATATGGAATAGAATGGCAGAACTTAAAACTCAGACTGAGCTTTTTGAAACATCCTATAGAAGAGTTATAACATACTAAGTTTAAGAGGAATTATTAAAATAATGAACAGCTTAAAACTTTACAGCTTTCCAAGATGAATGACCACAGGGCTTCAGGTCGACCTTTATCGTCTGCCTTTCTCCTTGGATACATCCTTGGTATCAACATTCTGTTGTAAAGCACTTGTCTTGGGTGTTGAGAATGACTGGCATCTTCCAGTGCCTTTGAATGCTAACAAATCTGTTCCATGCCACGTTTTGCATACAGAGTTGGTGAGATTTGGAGCCTTGGTGCCATCTTGATACAAAGGAATTAAAAAGTAAACTCTAAATGCTTTTTTAAAAAAATAATTTATTTAGCAGATGTTCTTCATCCATTGTGTTCTTGCAAAATTGACTTTGAAAATGTTTTTATATGAGCCACCAGTTGCTTGAATCGAAAAGAGTGGATAGCTGTACTCCACAGACACAGAGGCAGTCTCAAGGCAACTAGATGCTCTACATTTCACACTCACTTTGTATCAAATACACACTCATGAAGAGTTGCCATTAAACTTAGCTCTCTTTCTGTCTTCATTTGATATAGGGTAGGGAGACAGTGAGAGAATGGCAACAGTTTTCCCCCTTTCCGAAGCCTTTTCAGAAGTGCAAAAGATCATAATTCTGTTCAGGTTTATGTGACTACATTGAAGATGTTACTGCATGGGAACAGATCTTTGTGGGAGAGGACTGCTGCACAATTATGTGTTCCTTCAGCAATGGAGTGCTATTGAGCCACAGTTTTCTGAAAGTGCTCATAAAATTCCTGACAAAATGTCTCTGTCAGGTTAGATCCTTGAGACTGGAATATCAGGGGAGCAGAGACATTAATGAAAGCTGAGGTTTCATTTTCATAGTCAGAGAAGAAAGAGGCTTCAACTTGGAGTTATCTTTAACAGGAACCCATCTGCATGTGCTCTAAGCCACGCCCTGGAGAAGCCTGTCTCTCTCCACTGACTATAGAGAGACTTAGGCTGGAGGGATCACATTTTCCATGGAAGTGAACTGCTTCTTAAATTCTAAGTGACTTCCAGGATCTAGAAAGGATCCTGCCTTCCCCAGCAGGAAGAAGAAACAGTGAAGAACATCCCTGTAGACTGAGACATCTATGTAGATACTTGCTAATCGAAAGAGTAGTATTCTGGAACTTAACCCTGTAAAACTGGGATTATGACCATCGTGTTCAGTCTTTTAAAATACATTTGATAAAGTGTAGCAACTAACAGAGGACATGAATACAGCATTTTACAGCACATCTGCTCAAGTCTGGAGTAGTCGCCTTCTCCTCATTTCTGCTTTTGTGCTTCCTTTCACATTTGTTCCCATACCTTACGGTAAGTGGACTGCACAGCTGAGCTATGCTAATGTCAGCAGTGCTTAGGGAGCAGTGAGAGTACTTAAATGGGTGTACAAGGTGAGAAGGGGTTTTGTAGTATCAAAACTAATCAGCAGAACCTTTGAAAAACTACTTGTCAAACTATACATGAAGACACAAAGTATGCCCTAGTTATGTGTCCATAGCACAACAGCTGTGTAGTCAAATGTGTTTTGAATTGAATTATTTAATTTGTCCAGTTTTGGTCATGTACACAGCGGGCTGAACACAGAAATCTGTTTCCCATAAAGTTTAAAGCATTTATAGCAGCTGGAGTAACCTGTTTTGAGGATACTTCAAACAGCAGAATTGATAAATAAACCCGTATAGTGATGGTGGAAAACATTTTCTTTCAAGATCTATGGTATAGTCTAGGTGTGGACTCTTGTGTCAGTCTCCCCAGTTTACTCTGTGCAACTGCTTGTACTTCATGAAATTGTAACAGAAGAAATGTACATGAAGTTTTAAATTAAAACAGTGAAGTGGAAAGTCATAATTTTGGATGGCCTTTTAAATTTGGGGGTTTTTCTTTCTTGGGAGAGGTAAAAGGGAGAGTTGGGATGTGATGGTTGGACCTGTTGGGTACAGAAAAAGAGAGAACAGACAGGAGAGTAAGAAATTGCATGTAAAATATAGAAATTGCTGTATTCAATGAAGCAGTTATCTTGGGTTTTTTTGACTTAGTAACATAAAATACTGCTGTTCATATTTAGCACTCATTCAAGAGAATTTTGTGTTACTATAGTTTGCTTAAGTATGTTCAGTATAAAAAGTGTAGGAGGGTTATTAACTCTCACAAGGACAGTCAGAAAGTCAGGAGTTCTGTCTTAGCAGAAATAAATGTGAACAATTGCTTTGAACAGGTATGATGATGCTATCCAGTTATATGATAGAATTTTACAAGAAGATTCAACTAACACAGTAAGTTTAAAAGATTTTTCTGAACTGTGGTTTGTTGTTTGAAATTCTGATTACATTTTGTAGATTTCACTGTGGAAAAATGTGTGTCTGTATTACTGTATTTGTTTCCTTTAGTTTCATAGTATAATAACCTATATTACCTTCATTAGAACAAATGGGAGTCATTTCATGATGAGAAGGTGTGATGTAATAACTGCTTAAACACTGAATTTAGAAGACAAGATTATAACTAGTAAGCTTTCCAGCAGTTGTAGTAGGGTTTAGATTGGGCCTTTCAGTGTTTCAATTTTCCCCAAATATTCCGTATTTAAAGGATCAATATAGTCTGCTTATGTCTTCTGTCTTCCTGATACTTAATCTTACTTAAAAATTAATTATCAATACACTCAGGTCGTGTTTGAATAGCAGTTATTTTGATTTATTGTCTGAGACACTTTACTAGCTTTTGAATCAAAATGCTATAAAGCCTGCCAATTGTATAAAACAAAATCTGAGACACACTGTAGTTTTCTTTTCAGCATTTTTTGAATACTGGTTGTGTAAGTCACCTTTTGAGCTATTAGCTGCCAAAATGAAAGTCTAGGGAAACCTGTAGCAATACGTTTTCACACATTTTTTTCTATGAAGATAAAACTAGAAATATGAAGAAACTATGGAGTTTCAAATTTTTGTATGACATATTACAGAGTCAGTTAATTACTATTAATCATTGTCTGCTTGAGGGTATATGACCTGGACCAGTTAGAACAAGTCCAGAGAAGGGCCACCAGGATGATCCGAGGGCTGGAGCACCTCTCCTATGAGGACAGGCTGAGAAAGTTGGGGCTGTTCAGCCTGAAAAAGAGAAGGCTCCGGGGAGATCTTATAGTGGCCTTCCAGTACCTGAAGGGGCTACAAGAAAGCTGGGGAAGGACTTTTCATAAGGGCAGTTAATGGCAAAACAAGGGGAAATGGGTTTAAGCTGAAAGAGGGGAGGTTTAGATTAGATATTAGGAAGAAGTTTTTCACTGTGAGGGTGGTCAGACACTGGAACAGGTTGCCCAAGGAAGTTGTGGATGCCCCCTCCCTGGAAGTGTTTAAGGCCAGGCTGGATGAGGCTTTGAGCAACCTGGTCTAGTGGAAGGTGTCCCTGCTGATGGCAGGGGGATTGGAACTAGATGATCTTTAAGGTCCCTTCCAACCCAAACCATTCTATGATTCTATGATTCTATGTCTCTGTTACTTGGTTTCGAGAATGGGTTCTCTTCATTGGGTAAACTTCTATGTAAATATAATACTTGGGCTAGTGCAGATGTTTTGTCAGTCTCATGTAAACCTTCCTTGGAGCGTTTTGAACCTCTGCCTTCTTCAGTCAGCTTGTTTGATGTGGTCTGCTATTCATGAGGGGAAAACCCACAGAAACACAGATAACTAGAGTTAACTAGGGTATGCCAGAGCTGGACGTAGATGAAGTGCCATCACTTAAAGCTAAGTAAACCATTAAAAAAAACCCAAACACAAAATTAATTAAACAAAACAAAACAAAACCAGCTAAAACCAATAAACCATAAAATTATTTTCAAGGCAACACATCTGAAAATATTAATACCGAGTTAAGCACTTGGATGACAGTGGTAGATTAAAGTCTGTGCCTTTTAGCAGTGAAAGAACTCATATATTTTGTGCAAGGGTAAAAAAAATATTTTCAACTCTTCACTCTTATTTTTCACTCTACCTAGAGCAGAACTACTTGAAGTATGTTCTGCGAGACAAATGTAGGTGATCTGCAGTTGTCCTTTGAAATTCTGTAGTGGTTTTGAGTAGAATTTTGAGCACAAGGTGTGTAGCCGTCTACAGTAAATGTTGGTGGATTTTGTTAGTCCCCAGAGAGTTTCAGAGACACTAAGTCTTCAGAGTCATGTTAAAACAAGATGGAATCCATCTACAGTGAAGCCACAAGAGCAGGTCACCTGGGTGCACATTTTATGACCTTTTGCTGAAGCTAGTGGAAAATGGAACACCATATTACAATGACTTCTGTGGACCACAGATCTTGGAAGTGTGTATTTTTGGCAGTTTTACTCTTCAGCTGTCTCAACATGGCTAACATAATCCGATTGCTTTGTTGTATGGTTTTATAAAACAAAATGATACATTTAAATAAGTAATATGCATAACTACTACCTACTTTGGATTTCCTCCTTATCAAAATCATAAAGATCCATAAAATGGTAATATTTAGAAGCATAGGATGTAAATATTAGAACAGCTGCATGATCAATTTGATTTCTTAAGATCTGAGAACAGAAGTGGAGAGTGCTAAATGCAAAGCAAAGGTTCCTTGCTGTGTTGACTATAGAATAGGTTGACTAAGCCTTGCATGTGAAGAGTGAATGTTAAATAGAAAGTTCTGATGAAGTGCCCACATGCAGATTTCTTTGTGTCTGTTACCTGCTAATTATTTCCATGCATACATTAGGCTGCTGTAGGAAAATCAATATTGCAAAATTTTAAAAAAGAAACTGTTGATGAGTTTGTCTTGGCACTCACCTTATGTTATAGCAATTTCTTCTGGTCTGCCGACACATGGAGTTGCTTATATACATTAAACATTTTGGCAAGTGCTATAAGTGAAACAGACATTTGTTCACACGAATAACATAAAATTAATGCTTTACATCAACTGACAGTTTCAAATAGAAGCACAGAAAAAGCTTTTTCAGAAAATTATTTAAGACACCTAGCAGACTTCTCCATTATGAAAAGTGAACTTTGAACTCAAATTATGTAATGGACATTTACACTTTCAGATGAGGTTTTGTTGCATGCAAAATGCTTAAATTAAGATAAAAGTAATTATTTTATTTAACTTCTTAGGATAGAATTCAAATTAGTCTTTGTTTTTAAAATATGACCATTTCTCAATGTTTTATCTGACTCTGAGCTTACTTGCTGAAAAAAATGAGTCATTTAACAATGGAGCAAAGTTAATGTTGTCACTTCAGAGATCGTGTTTCATTTTTCAAAGCATGTAGGCGTTGAGTAAGAGTCTGTCCCTTCTCTAAAGGGTTTAACATTAATGAATGAAATGTAACTCCTGTGAAAAGCACAACTTGTGTGCATTTTAATATGGTAAGAATGGGAACCTTTTCCATTCTCATCCATTTTGGTTGTAATGAAGGCTTATTAGAGCTGTAGCTGGCTGATTACTCTGTTATTAAAGCTGCATAAAATTTTCCATTGTAAGGCCTTTTTTATTAATTAGAATTTAATGTAGTATCCAGTTGAAAATCTTTATACTGATGCGGAACAGTGGCTGAGTTGTTTGTAGATCTTCAGATAAAATTCTTAGTCTGTTTCTCAGAACAAAATAAGGACATTGCTTTTTTTAGCAGGGTTGATAGAAAGGACTTTTTGTTTGTTTTTGCTGTTAATATATTTCATTGAGAAATCCTCATTCTGCTCTGCTTTGGAGGAAAGCCTTGGATACCAACAGGAAAAGAGCTCTTGATAGAATGCAGGTTTTATTATACTATGAGAAAAACACCCAAACTGGCTAAGTTAGAGGCATTTGAAAGTCTTCATGTTCTCAGTAGAGACTGCTGGAATTTTTATTAAATACGTCTTCTTAAAATCCTGTTTGTATTGAACATGATCTGTCCCAGGCTACAAAGACTAAGCAAGACTTCCTTACAATAGCTTCTCATGGCTGTAGGGCTATGGGAAAGGGGCAGAAAGTAGGAAAAGAGACTACTCTCTTTTCTGAGTTGCATCCAAATGATGAGCAGGAGAAGAGGGAAAAAAATCCAGAAGGAACTGGGTAAAAAGAGAAGGAAGCAGAACTGTGAGGACCAAAAGAGAGGGACAGGTAATGGAAAATTAGGTGGTTAGTTAACAGGAGAGGTCAGGTCAGATGTAGGGGAACAGATGGCTTGAAGGGTGGGTAGGAGATCAGAACAGAGGGATCTGTATTAGCGTTTAAGTCTTGGACACCTTTTTTTTTTTTTTTTTTTTGCCTTCCCCGGGGGGGGAAAAAAAAAAATCACATTTTGCCTTGAGGCTTTTTTTTTTTTTCCTGCTGTCAGCTTTGAGACCTACTGGTGAAATGTCTCTTATTCCCTGGAGTACCTGGTGTGTATTAGTTCTGTCAGTAACTCTTTTAGCTCTAATAGTGGAGGCAAATGCCACTTGGATACTGAAAGTGGTTCTGCAAGATGGAATTTCTGTTCTTTCACACTTCAGACCTTCTGGAGATAAGACTGAATGCTCAAGCATTCTACTTAGAAAATACTAGATCTTACCTGCCCTTAAAATGACTAGTAGTCTTTTGAAGTTTGATATAATTTTGTAACACAAAATGTAATGTATTAATGTATTATAATGTACATATCTAATGGGATACCCCACTAGAGTTTGTTGTGGATGGATTACTTGTTTAAAATTCAGTAGAAAATTTGTGCGGAATTGATGTATCTGTATTTTCCACTTGATATGCAAGTCCTTATCTCTGGGAGTGTGGCCCTTACAACTTCCATTTGTGAGGTTCTTATGTATCTTGAATATTTGGGGTTTTTCCTCTCTCATTTGTCCCACAGCAGTGTGAGATGAAAGAGTACTGGCATTTTATATACAGAGAGCGGATGAAAGCCCAGCTCTGCAAAGTTATTTAGGACTCTGTTCCTAAGCAGGCAGTTAGCTCTCTGATTTTGCTATTAATTTCAACTCTGTAATGAATATTAAATGAGAAATTTTTAAACTATATGTACATATATGTATCAGATTAAGTTGAATTCTTTTTGCATTATTTTACCCTGACAAAGATTCTGCTTTTGGGGAGCAATTTGAATGTAGACCCAACTATTTTAATTAGATAGCTGAGTATTTTTGTCAGTCAGGCCCTTCTCGAGGTGGCCTGTCCAGGAGCGCGAAGATTGATGATGAGAAACAAAATTGAGTTCATGTGTCCAGGGCTTAGGTTGATGTCTAACCCACTCCACTGTCATCCTAGTGCATCTGCAGTT